GTGCCAAACCACTTCAATCCTTTTCTCTGCAAATTAAGATTTTTTTTTTTTTTTGGGGGGGGGGGGGTACACTTTGACAATGAAGAAGCCTTCAAACACGCAGTAACTACTTGATTATCGATGATGGCAGATGCGCACAACAGTAACATTGCAAAAGTTATGCCAGGTTACTGCGTCTCACTAATAATGTCAAGTATTCTTAACCCTCTCACTGCACAACCCGCTATTTCCGCGGGGATGCATTTTTACCGTCTACTTAACTGTGCAAACCTCTCTTTCCCCATTCAAGGTTTCCTTTCGGCTTTTCTGTGATGTTTAATTTTTTATTCAGATGTGGGCTAACAGATGGCGTTAATTGTCCACATTTCTGTCAAATATACAAGCATACGTAATGTAGCATTTTGCACGCTTTTCAGAGCTCAAAGAAGTCTGGCAGGAACCGTTTCACAAGTGATATAACCTATTTTCCTGACGATATTTCCGACACTGATAGTAGTTCTGACTCTGATTTCGAGTATATAGCGAGAGTATTGAAGATAGTTATAGCGAAACTGATGAGATTATCTCAGATTCCTATGCAGATTGTAATATGAATCTGAAAATTCAGTTTCTATTGAAAACGTTCGACAGTGGTGCAAAATTGATATGCAAAATATTACATTATGCAAATATTTTCATTAGTATTTATGTTTTACCTTTGTACTTTATAAAATAAATCATAATTTAACCAATATTAATTTTCAAAATTTTCCTTTTATATCACAATTCTTGAATTTTAGTATTCTGACAAACATTTTCTATGATCTAATTCTATATTGAGGGGAAAAAAAAAACCTTTTACAAAAAGTTTTTGTACATTTTTTGTATTTATTAACTCTAAAATATATGGAGATTTGAAATATGTAATAAAAAATATGCACTTTTTGAACCTATTTTGACAAAAAAAGTATGCAGTGAGAGGGTTAAATGTCAAATAGCCTTGTTGACACATTCTCTCATATTCTTGCAATGCTTCACACTTCATATTTTACATCATTTCTAGAATTCTTGGATGATCTTACTGCATCAGTTTTTAAAAAGCTACTTTATATCCACATTTCTGTAGAGTGCAAAATTTTGATATTTATTGATTGAATAACAGATATACAGTAAAGGAAAAGAGTAGAACAGATGTTATTTACTAAAACTGTAATTTTGATAAGCTAAATAACAGTAAACAGAACAAAATAAAAAGCGGTTTCAAATAAAAAGTTAAGGAAGTTAACTGAAATTCCTGGAATCTAATTCTTTCATCATTTCCAGCTGTTATGCCAGTGACAGAAAACCAGTATGAACAATATCCCACACCAATTAAACTATTCAGGTTTCAATTATTGTTTAGATTAAATAAAAAAAAAATGCTTCCCCTTTCCTCTCACAAGCATTCTTAAGGACCAAAAGTGTGGTCCTGGCTAATGTCATTCCTCAGTCAATAGCAATTCTCTATGGTTTCTCAATGGGTGGTACGCAAGAGAAAAATAGGTGATACGCAATGAAGCAAAGTATTTTTAACTATTAAATTCAAAACTTAAAACACCAACATCATGATTGAGTTTTTTTCCGTAACACTTGTAAATGTATGCAATCTGAGCTTTATTCAAGAGTGATGGTGGTGGTAGTAGTATTTTGTAGAGGTGGTACTAAAGGTTTTCGATTTTTGTTAGATGGTATGCATTAGTCAAAAGGTTGAGAACTGCTGCTTCCTTTCCTGATGGTTAGGAAGTCTGAATGTTAAGACATCCTTAGAATTTGTACTTTACTAGTTTATAAAATTGTTTAGGTGGATATCTACATTGCATGTCCATGTAGTTGAAGTTCCTTTAGTATCACCCTAAGTGGTGAATAAAATCTGTATCAGAATATGCATAAATTAAAAACATTTTGGCCTTGTTTAAAATTTATGTATTTGTGCTGTGATGGATGCTCATATGCTCTACGAGGCTATCTGCACAGCTGCAAAGAAATGCATAAATATATATTTGCATTTCAATGCAGATCTAAGAAAATAAATGAGAATAACATTCAGATGATTTGAATTTGTGTGTTTTATTATTTGTTTTGATGAAAGTTTTAGGTTATTTAATATTGCATCAGCCAAAAACTTTGTATGAACCACCAATACTAAAATAAATACTTATTTTCAGAAGGTGGAGTAATAATGTTGTTGCGTTTTTCTTTTTTGACACCAGCTGTTACGTTATTTTCTTCCTTCACATTCGTACGGGGTTCGTGTGGATTTGGAATGAATAAAGACGACACTTGATGAAGTATCGAAACACACTTTATTGGCCGGTATCAATCAGGACAACTCCAAAATCTCGTTCAGTCGTCGAACTGTTATAAACGCGCTGACATGATCAGCGACACAGGTTTCAGGCTATCAAGCTATCACGGGAGAAACAGCTTCACTGCAAAGCACCAGAGTAACGCTCTCGACTCTGCTTGGTCATTCTCGGAACTCCACGTACTCTCGAGACTCTCCACGCTGCAACTCGCGATGCACTCGATGACACACAGAGAACAGCTCCTGACTCTTCGATTCAGTCATTCCCGGAGCTTAACACGCTCTCTCGACAATGCACTAACTGCGATATTTGAAGAGACTCTTTCGACGCACTCGACAACCCACTTGGCTCTCGCTGCTGGGCTGTCAACTCGATCGATTCTGCACGAATTGACTCGCTAAACAAGACACCCACTCGTTACTAACTAACCCTCCACATACCAGCAGGTTTTATATAGCTTTAAACTGGTATTCGAGAACATTCTGCGCTAAACCGGTAAGAATTTGTTCCAGAAGGTTCTTCATCCGTCCATGGAATATCACAGATTTTGTCGACAAATGGGCAATTTCTCGCCAAATGTGGCAACCCGGTCTTCCCTTGCCCATTTTATAGCCACCTTAAAACTGCTTTACAGGGAAGCTATCTCACCCGTGAAAGCCTGATAACCTGAAGGCTGTGTCGCTGATCGTGTTAGCGTGTTTATAATACAGTCAAAAGTCGTTAATCCGGACTCGTTGGGACTTCGGCGATTCCGGATTATCGATTTTTCAGGATTATAGATCATCAGTTTAAATCTGGTAAGATGGCATGCAGAAATTATAAAATTAAAAATATGAAACCGTAATTTAAGAAATAAAGAACAATTATAATCTAAAGGGTATCAAAATTTAAAAAAAAAAAAAAAGAAAGCTTAATATTTATTTGTTTACTTTATTAAACATTTCTTTCAATGTAAGTTGTTTAAGTTGCTTCGCTTTATGTGATAATACTTTCTCTTTAATTGCATAAACAGTCATAATTTCTTCTCCAGCTACAAAGTTCCGCTATTCAAGTCCTATAATTGCTGTGTCGAGAATACAGACTAATTTGTCAATCGAAATTTTTTCGTTTTCAATAACCTCTGTGTCACTTTCTTCACTATCAGAAGCGAATTATAATGACGAGGAATTTAATTTAAATCATATCAAAGACAGAGTACATCGAGATGAAATACTACATTTAGTAGGGAATTATAAGCCAAATAAAATAAAAGCATCTGCTCTGAAGATAAGGATAGTGCTGACAGATCAATTTCCAATCCATTGCGCGCCGCACCGTGCCAGAATTGAAATTTCCAGAATCAATTCAAAAATTCAAATGACAAAAATCATTCCCTTTCAGATATTGAAAATTTTTCTTAAATATTTAGTTGCCATGGAAACAAAGCTCGTTCTTGCATTAAAGGTTTCGCTATTACATCAGATAACTGTAACTTGGCTCTTAAATTAATCCAAGATAACCTTTAGTCAGAAAGATATGTTAATCAATGCCCACACATTTAAACTGCTGAACATGATTTTGTCAAAGAACACTTATAATTTAGAAGAGTTGAAAAATCTGTATTTTAAGTGCAAAACTCAAATCGTTCTCTTGACAGTTTAGGTACAAAATCAGAGAATTACAACATAATGCTTCGTGCTGTAATTTCAAAACTTTTTCCCAGCAACCTCGCTTTGGAATTCAGCAAAAATCTAATCTTAAGCACTAATCATAATTTAAGAGTTGATGCATTTTGTGCATCATTTCATTACTGCAAGGACGATACTGTTCCATATATACTCTCCCTCATTCCATGCAACACGTAGCCAGTATAAACAGTCTAAGCAAATGAACTTCAGAGCTCCCAATTGCAATAAATTCCTCGGGGACAAAATCTGAAGAAACAGTTCTTACTTCATCGAATTGTAAGAGATGAAATTTTGCTGCAATGTTCATAGGTAGAAATTGTTGGTAAAGAGTCATTAGATTTTTATTCTTGTTTACTTGATAAAGGCTCCAAGCACATAATTTTAAAGAAAAGGTGACGGATACATAACTTTTGTGCCTTATTCAAATTGACAAAGGACAATATAAATGACCAATCCAGTTAATTTATCTGCTTGAAATAACTTGTCTTATGTATGATCAATATCATTAATTACTGTCATAATTGTATTATTTGTATTAGACTTACTAAGTAATTTGCATTGTATTTTATCTCTTGTATATATATAGTGCACTCTTTACACAGTACAGGTGGGGTGTGTTTAAAATTAATGTATTTGTATAGCTATGTGCGCTCGCACACTGAGTGAGAGTACCTGCACAGCCACAAAGCAGCATATAAAAATATATTTGCACTACTATGGAGCAGTAAAAAAATTAGGAGAATTATGTTAAGATGATTTGAATTTGAGTGTTTGATTGTGATTTTTTTTTGGGGGGGGGACAAAAGTTTTGCCTATTATCCACCATAAATCAGGGGGGAAAAAAAATCAAGCATACTCTACATACCCTTAATTCATTAAAAATGGTTCATTTAACTGATTAATAAGAAACTAGAAGGGGTCCACTTCTCATTAAAATCAAGCATACCAATACATAAATACAAAATAAATGTTTATTATTAATCGTAATAATATATAAATTCTTACTTACCAGGTTGATGAGGAGCTTTAATCCGTACCCAAAAATCAATGGTCTTCTCACTCTCTAGTTGTTCATAATCCCATGGCTCTCTAACTTTCACATCACCATTGTGATCTATAGCTATCCACCGATTTTCGTCCTCCAAACTAAATGTTTCATCTGGATGGAGGCTTTCCAAACGAAACATCACTTTTCCTGGCATATTTGCATCAGTTTCCAGGAAATTTGTGTATGTTTTTGTCTGGCGGATAGAACGTTTCGTTCTTTTTAATTTGTGCTCTAACTGAACATTGCCAACACTTACCGTCACAGGAATTATATCACTATAGAGAGGTGGATAACGATTATCATTAGCCTGAACATAAAAACTGTATATTCCAGGTTGTGCATCTCCCATGACAATAACTCTTCCAGTTTGGGGCACAATAACAAATGTATGATTCTGGTTGGTTTCCACAAATTCATAAATTGGTTTATCACCATCAGCATCAGCAGCTTTAATGAAACCAATAGAAGAATAAGCTGGAATATCTGAAGAAATCTTGAACATATAATGCTTTTTAAGGAATATGGGTGGGTTGTCATTAAGATCATTTACAATTACTGTAACCGGAACAGATGCAATACACCCATTTGAATCAACGGCATTCAATTTCAAGACATAATTACTTTGCTTCTCTCGATCAAGTATAGTAGTCGATGCAATCACAGGATGACCTTTGTGTTTAAATACATTAAAATCTTCATTTCCAAATACTGAATATTCAACATTCCCTTTAGCATCAGTTGCTTTCAAATCAACTAAATTGGCAACAATTGTATTTGGAGGTTGATTTTCATCTATTTTTCCATTATACGAGCTTCGAGGAAAGTGTAACATTTCCTCACTTCTTCTAACATGTATTAAAAGAGGTTGTACAAATGTTACACCATCATGTTCTTCCCTAATACGAAGTTTTACTGTATTATCAGCTAAATGAGCCAGGCTTTTAGTGGGTACGAGGGAACCATCACTTAGTACTGTAAAATGAGATGAAATTTCATTTTCTTCTAAATCGACCTGACCTTTGGAATGTAATTTCTTAATACTGTAGCCTGGTTGTATATCATGAGGAATGCATATCCTCTCATCTGCAATGATTTGTACCACAAGCAATACTAATGCTAGAAAATGTTTTAATATATAAGTCATGGTTGTTTTTGATGAATATTAGCAATGATGACTAGGAGCAAAAACATTAAGGCTACTAAAACCTTGATAACCTAAAAAGAGAAAAATTTATTAAAATTAGAAATACAAATAATAATACGTAAATAAAACAAAAATATTACATATATTTATGAAAAAAACTAAAAGCTTGTTATAAGAAACATCTACTCAAAATTTTAAAGTTAAAAATATTAATTTAAATTTTACCACTTCAATAAAGAATGTCATTATAAAAACCACTTGATCCTTGAAAAAATTGCTTACTAATATTCAAATTTGATGGAATAGTATACTGGGCACAAGGACACTGCCTTTCTGTTTAATGTTCTACATAAAAACTGAATAAAACAAATGAGAGATATCATTCCAAATGGAATTACACCAAGTGCAATTCTCAAGAAAAAAGTAGACTTCTCAAGATACTACAGTGTTTCTAAAACTAATTATCTCACAGATTACAAAAAACATTCAACAGACTCCCTTATTACAATTATATTATTTCTTTAAACAGAATTATTTCAATTAATCCTTTACTTCTTGTACTTTATTTTCTGAAATAATAATTATGATTTAAAATTATCTTCAATGCATTTAAGTTTTCTATAATTAACCCCATTAATGCCCAGTATCTTACTAATAGGATAGCACACAATTTTACGACCTTTAGTGTGCTCCTCAGCACTTTACCACAGCACAATTTTATGACCTTTAGTATGCTCCTCACACATGAACCAGTCTAAGGATTCAAAATTTCACAGATCATGTGTTTATTCATTTAGTTTCATGTAACTTTCTTATGTTTTATGCGACTTAATGATGACAAAATTTTGAATGCTTGCTTTTTCTGAACTTATAATTAAAAAAAAATTATCATATATGCAAGTTTCATAAAACTAGTAATAAAAAAAAGAATTTAAATTATAGCATATTCAATCTGCATTTCTTGTTCATTACTTTTAAACTTAAATTTAAAAAAAAAAAAAAAATCCGTTACTTCATGAAACTGCCAGATATGTAATCTACAACAGTATAAATTTTTGTTTATTAATCATCAAAAGCATCAACTACTATATTTTAATTAATGAAATGTTATTTTTATGACACAGATGTCAACCCGGAAATATGAAAAATCAGCAGGTTTTTAATGTTGTGTGGTGGCTCCTTTTCAAAAGAACTCAAAATTGGTTTAAATTCATTTTATAACGCATGATTCAAATTATTTATCTATATATTTTACGAGTGTGACATAAAATATATTAATTAAATATTATAAATTTTAAGTTCTTTAATTTCAATTTGCAATTTTCTTACACTTTTACACTGAGAAAATTCTGAGTAGGTTAGGGGATGGTGCTTGTGCATTTCAGGAGCAAAACCTAATAGATTATATGTGCCAATTGAGTACGGAAAGAAAGCTTCACTTTATCAAAGTACTTTTAAACATGATAAAAACAAAATTATTAATATATATAATATTATCTGAATAAACTTAATAATTTATCATATATTTATAAGATACTTTCTCCCTCCTTTATCATGTACCTTTGTGATGCAATTGCTAGCACATTCAGTTAACAATCACAAGGTCGGGGGGTTGAATTCCTTCAAAAGGTTTGCACATTTATTACATTTCCTGCCTCTAAAAAATTGTAAAAATTATTCTACAGTTGCACAACTGAAACACAACGGACAATTTTTCATCACTAGGATTTGTGCTTTATTGGTTTAACTAGATGATAAATGTCTAACTAGCACTCAGAAGGCCCTAAGTCGTTTTCTCTTCTAAAATAGACCTAATGAGTCTACATTGATTAAAACAGAACTAAATATGAATATTTATTGATTAAACATTTGGTTAAATCTTCATATAAAGATCTATAAATGTCTACTATAGATACTAAGACTACTCTATACTAAGACAATTGAGATCAACTAAAATTTAATAAGAAAAATTATGCTGAAGATCACTAGGAACAGGAAAATGAAATTTGCACAGATTTAATTTTATTGCTGAAAAACACTTTTTTTCATAAAGGCTCAAAGTTAACCGGGACATTCGGTGATCTACTCGGAAACCGGCGGCTAAGTTAGATAATTAAATTTCCTTATGAACTAAAGAGGATTTACATTCAGTACTATCAATTTTTACAAAATGCAAAACCATATTCCTCTTTGTATTACGATAATTAATTCGATAATTTTGAATAAAGTTTAAATCAAGTAAAGGAAATATAACAAACTTTTAGATCCTACAAAGCATTTGAAACACCTGAACAAGATATTTTTAAGTAAACATCAGGTCTCAGGTGTAAGTCTAATTAGCTTATGAATTCATAAGAAAAAAATAATTAAAACATCTAAACAGGATGAAATTAATTAAAATACTGCAAAAGAAAACTTTTTTTCTATGACAAGAACAGATATATATATATACGATTTACTGGTAGGTAAAATTAAGTTGTTTATAACAGACGGGGGCAGATCTTATTTAAAAATACGTTATTATCTCCCCTTATACTATTAGCAAAACTAATATGATATACGTATAAGCTATCCAACATAAAATAAGACTCAGAACAAAATTTAAAATGTAAGTATTTCTTGCAATGCGTTGAACTCCAACGGCCAAAAAAAAATGCTACTCGCGGCCGGGCAAGTTACTTGCAAGACTGGCATGTCACACAAAATTTTACAGAAAAATCGTGGCATAGAGTATGATTATTAATAAAAAAGACTGTATAATAATTACTTGAATGTGTTATACGGATGTCAACCACTTCAGTTTACTTTATAAAACTCCATTTCAGCGTCAACTACAAAGTACACAATCCTCCCAACACAGCCACAGCAGCCAGAGCGCACGCATTCACTGGCCTTTGAACTTGTTTCAGTTCTGTAGGGTTGCCAGCGTAACTAAAAGAAATTTTTCGCCAAATTGGAGATTTTATTTTTATAGACCACAAATATGAATCAGTAACTAGCGGTGGTTTAGCACTAGCTTTTTCTCAGAAACCACTGATTTAAACTGGCCAGAATGATATAAACTTCATATCATTTAAAATACAAATTTTTATTTCCAGACATCGCAGATATGTAATGGAATAATTTATTTCCCATAGCTTTAATATTCAAAAAAAAAAATTTAACAAACAGACTGGTTTCCAAAATTAAAAAAAAAGAAAAATTATGATAATTTACCTAAAATTAGAGAGGTTTTTCACCACTTTAACCATGTATCCATTAACAATAGAATATGACACCAGAACAAAAGACATTAAAAAAATTATTTTTTGTTCAAACACTCAATATTTTATAAATAATTTTGCATAATCATTGCATAAATATTTTTATTGATAGTAAAACCTTTCCAAATAAAATTAAACATTTTTTTAATATTTACATTTTCATTTTCTTTTGAACTTCAAATACTCATTATCATAGGCATTAAATCATAGGCATTAGATTATAAATTTCCAACAATGACAAATAAGTCTGTCTATGGATTTAAAAACAGTGAAAAAATTCTTTTCAAATCTATGAATAGATCTATGAATTATTTATTCGAAAATACTCTGCAAAGTACACTGATAATGAAGTGCACATAGAATTTTAAGCAAATTTTTAATTTTCAGTTGGTCATTACTGAACCAGTCTTAATAAAAGATCACTATTTCCAATCGTATTCTCATGTCTAATTGAATTTGAATGCCTACCATTCTCTAAAGAATACTACTTGGATCCTTTTCATCAAAACATGAAAATAATTCAACAAAAGTTGAAATCTGTGATTAGCATGAATATAAAAACATCAGCTGGCATAGATAACAATATTAAATTTCTAAAATCAGACATGTAAGCCTACAATCCTATGTAACAAACTTAAAAAAAAAAAAAAAAAAAAAAAAAAAAAAAAAAAAAACATTAAGAAAGAAGATCACGATTCAAATAAATAAAATAAATATAAATTAAAAAAAATTTGAAAGGTTTTATATTTAAACGGTAGCCCAAAAGGGGTTGTCATGGGTTTTTTACGCTCTCACTGAGCTCTGAAGCTCCGCATCTACCAATCTGATCTTGCCTTCACTCCTGCTAACCCATGGAGGTAGGAAGTAAGATGGAGTCGCCCTAAACAAGTTTCTCCCGTACCCTGCTCTGAAGCACCGGCGATCCCTACGTGGTGACCAAAACATTGGGTCATTTACCAATTGAGTTCAATGGGTTTTGACGTGTTCGGATGTAAATATTTTTGTAATTACGTCGTAAATATATACATATAAATGTATATATTTTCTTTTTCTACAGCACTTCAGAGTCCTAAGTAATATGTGAAAACAACACATTTTTAAAACAACGATTTCATTCTGAACGGAATTAAATGCTATACTTTTCACAGGACACTCTTCTCAGAATGGTTTAATTTGAATGAAATATTTTCACAAGTTTTCGTTAATTACATTAGAAAAAAAATTAAGGTAATTCGATTTTATTCGGTTAAGGTACAAAAATTAAGATCAAAGTTTATTGTATTATTAATATTAAAATTATGCATTATTTCTTTTCTATTTATAGAGCTTCTTTCTAAAATACTTTCTTAAATATGACATTATTTTTTGGCTTCTGAGGCATCTTTTAAATCGAAAAATGTAAGTCGATTTATAATTAATGCTCTATTCGGTTCAGTATAAATTAGAGAATTATTAGGAATTAGCGAAATACTTTAAATAAGTATTTCGCTAATTCCTAATAATTAAATAGGTATTAAATAGTATTTGACTTTCTCTGAACATTTCTGAAAGGGAATAAAATAAGTTTTTTTTTTTTTTTTTTTTTTTTTTTTTTTTTACGAATTTTTTAAAACTTGTAACTGAGTTATTATAAAATGTAAGGGGAATAATTCTTTTAATTATACTTATCAGATTTTTTTTTAACCTTCATTTCAACAATACATATTCCAAAACTCTTTATTACGTTCTTAAGTGCGCATCTCATAGCATTTGCTTTACAATACCTTTTAACAGATTGCTTTCCAATACGAACAATTCTTGCTTAAATAGTTTTATAACGTATTTGTCAACAGGATTTCAATTTATGTTTACAATTCAATATTAAGGTTGTTTATATATTTAGATAACATTTATAACCATTATAAATTAGATACATTTAATAATTAGATTTCTTCACAGCACTACTTTCACAGTTGTTTATAAGTGAATAAATTCTTCATTTCAAATACATTTATAAATAATTTAATGAATATTTAAGTATTTTGTCAAAGGCAGATACATGCTTTTTGCAAGCACATGCATAAATACTCATACATATTTCCTATTTTTCATTTCCGGCATGTGCAAATCTTTAATTTCTGTGCATTCACTATATTTTTCGTGTAAAGTAATTTACACTAATTTAGCATGCACCCGAAAGTTTTACATAAAAAATATATATGAATATAATTTGAATGAAAATTATAAGTATTATTTTTAATACCCACTCAAAGGTCAGTTTTTCTTCACAATTCCAACACGATGGCATCTCTCTTTTTAGGCAGATAGCCCTTGCATGCGTTACTCTATTTAATAAAAACTTAATCTGACCTATGTGCCTAATTACAAATATTTTAACATACATAATTTTATATTTATAAAACGTGTAAGCCCAAAGTGATTATTTTTCAGATATATAAAATTAAAACGATGGGTTTAAAATGAGCAGCAGTAAAGCCTGTCCTCTAAAAAATTTTAAAAGGTCATGTTACAATAATATATGGATGTGAAAAAAAAATTTGTTTTATTTAAAACATTTTGACGTTTGGAAAAAATAAAATAAAAGTAGGGAATACGCTATCAAGGGTATCGAAAGACGTATACAATTTTAAATGTACCGTAAGGTATTTTTCATTCTTTAAGCATAAAATTTTTCTTAAAATCTATATTTTTGTAGTGTAACAGCTTATAATTTTATAAAACAAATTCATAATCAAAATCGCTGTTGTTAGTTATCGAAAAATAACCAAGATGCGATTTTTGCGTAAATATCACTAAACTATACAAATTGCTATTATCCATCACACTATGAATGTTTCTTTCATGCGAAAGTGTCCCTTTTTCGATTTCTATGTGACTGTCGTGTGTCGAAATACTATCAGAATCTTGTCAAGCGAGCTTCTGAATGTAAACAAAGAACACCCCATCTGGTGGCCCAAGCTTCAAAGCAGTGCTTCACTTTTAGCGCGGGGTTGGCCTCTCCTCCCTTTCCTACCTCCATGTGCTAACCCCATTTTTCCTTTTTTTTTTTTTTTTTTTTTTTTTTTTAACATAGACGTACGTTCTTCAGTGACGGTATCAAGGATAAAAAAAAATTAAGACGCAAATGTATTAGCAGAACATGCACATGTCTTAGTAGAACGTTATATATCTCAGCAACTCCCAAAAGCTATAGTTTTCATTTATAACTTTTTGACAGTTAAAGGGAACCATTACAAAACACAAAAGGGTTTTGAAAATTGGAATTGCGGTTGAGCCACAGTAGAGTCTCAGAGGCAAAAATAAGTAATAAATAGCCATGGACCTTATAAGAAATAGACAAACCCAAACGTGTTTTCTCCCTCGTCTGAGGCGTTGCTGGCTGTCACCTTGATCACATCCGGAGGAGTAGGGACGACTTGCAGAAATTTAACATTGGTTGGCTATTGCAGCGTGTATAACTGTCAAGGAAAAGCTGTATGTAGCGCCTCATTTCACAAATTAGAATTTCTATATATTTTTATTTTTGAAATTGAGATTGATTTTTAAAACTTTAGCATATTTATCAAGCATAATTAACATTCCAAATAATTATAAAGCTATTGCATGCTTTCAGGGCTGGATATTTTTTTAGCTTTTCCTATGCTGTAAGGAAATTTTTGTAACTACTTCTTTTAGAAAATAATATTTTAAATCTGAACTAATAGAAAATTTCAAACAAGCAATTTTCTCTTGCAATTTTTATGCTTTTTATTGGTGTAAATAAGTAAGTAAAAAGTACTAAAATATTTAAAAACGAATTTTTGAAAGTTTTGTTTAAAATTCTAAATTGTGCTGCTTTTTTAAAATTATAGATGAGTATTATAGCACAATTTCTATAAAGGAATTTTATTTCAATTACATTTCATAATACATCATAGTGATAAACATTTTTGACGCCTTAAAAATTTTTGTACATTTAATTCTAATATTAAAATTGTATTTAACCTTAATAATTAATTTTGCTTGTAATTTATAGTGACTATTTTTTTAAATCGTTTATTTTTAGTTCTGCATAAGATTTTTTTTATTAACTGTTAATTTAATTTATTAAGTCAAAGCGGCGGTTCCCTAGAAAGGCTGTTAGTTTGGAAGCGGCATTTTGCGCTGTTTTACTATAAGTGTCCGTGTCTCCTTGCAAAGTGTTGTTACCAAATATTATCGCCCTGTATTATATGTAAAGAAATTAAAAATGAAGAAATCTGCATTAATACATGTATGTTTCTTGCACTGTGACAAAAACGACAGTATCTAGAGCCATCAAATTTTGAATAATGTAATCCTCCAACCGAACATGGGCATCTGGACTGCCGAATTTCGAATTTATTTTAATCTATTTCATATTTTGTAAAACTTTAACGAATTTTCGAATAACAAACTCAACGAGCTTTAAAGCGAGCAATGGCAGACACTGTACGGAAAATAACATTTTGATCTCCAGTGCGGAAATTGTAAAGATATGCTGTTTTCAAATGTTACGGGTGATGTTTCAAATGTGGTTTACGGGCGAAGAACATGATATTCAATAAATATAGGTAACACACAAAACTTTAAAAAAAGGTTCCTTTTGGGCGTAATATAAAATTTGAGTGCTTCTAG